TCGATGAGAAATTCGAGTGCGATAGGCACCAACGAAAAGGAGGAGGCACCCAGAATGGCGAGGACTACGTAGGGACCAGCAATATCCTTCGTTTCAGGCATCCAAACAAAGACTAGGTAACTGACGCCAACAATGGGGACAAGAATCTTGAGAGTCAAGAGGAAACTCTTCGTGCGGTCGATAATGGGTGACGAGATAGCGGAGGCGATAAGACCAACAACAATAAGTACAGCACCGCCGATGCCAGCTTCGTCGTCAGAAAACCCATATGGCGAGAAGATCTGATTGAGAAGTGAAGAAATCGAGTTGAAGAAGCCGACATATATGGAAAAGGGAACAAGGATCAGCCAGATCTCGAGAGAACGACTCAAAACCCCAAAGGATTCACGGAGACTGAGTTTAGGGGTCTCAGCTGCGGGACCAACTGGTGAAGGAGGTTTGGCTGGAACGGCGAAGGCAGGCACTGCACAAACCGTTGACTAGAACCGTTAGATATGGAGAACAAGAAACTCGTAGGGCACATACAATGATGGAGATGTAGAGGACCATGTTTGACACATCACCAGCCTTTTTAACCATGAGTGGTGTAATTAGTTGGCCAAATGCTGCACCGAAGGGGTTGGCCAGACTTGTCAGAGCTGTTGCAGCGACACGTCCACGGTTAGTGAACCACAAATCCGAGTATCGAGTTGGTGCTGCAAGAATAAAAGGCTGGGCAAATCCAATGATGATCTCTCCGGCCATGGCATAGGCGATATTTCCACCACTGGACTTTGTAGAACCGGCGTATCGAATCCAATTGCCGATGAGAATGAGAACGGCGGCTGTCATGAAGGCCAGCTTCGGACCCCGATGGAGGATGGCAATGCTGATGGGGAAAACAGCCACAAATGCAAGGAAGAATGCAGTGCTGATCCAGTTGATGGTAGATTCGCGTACATCATAGTATTCGGCAGCCTGTGATGCTACTGGTGCAAAGGTCATCCACTATCGTTCTTCTGTCAGCATATGCATCTCATTCGATTGGTGGTGTGGGAACTCTAAACCTACATCCCACGACACAATAATATTCATCAGCGTCAGCTGAGCGAGACCAAACCAACGTCGTTTGTAGGTGCGATACTCTGTCGATACTCCTTGGCGAATGCTACCCTCCTCAGCCTCGACATCTACCTCGCCCTCGCCTGTTGCTCTGCGCTCTTGAAGAGTGAAGTCCCTTGAGCCGAGTTTCTGCTTGCGCCAGAAGCGGCCACCAACACCGTCGCTACTCATGATGCCGAATGAACCAGGGAGTTGTCGTGATCACTTGGATTCTGGCGTAAGTGATTTCTGTCAAGACCTGAGGGTGGAGTTGAGAGGTTGGATTGAGGACATGCGTTTCTTTCGACTTGCGATATTGAAACGATGATGCGTGACAGGGACAGGGATACACTGAGCAATGGCAGTGTCAGTCAGTGCCAGTGTCAGTGTTAGTTTCAAGAAGAGGTCCAGTGAGCAAGGACGTCCTCATGCACTGTCTGACTCTGGTAGCAGCAGATATATGCAAGAGGAGACCGTGATTCAGCACTGATAGAAATGTAGGTAAAGGTATTTAAGAAAAGGAGTCGAGACAGAGAATTGACAACTCCCGCGCCAATGGTGTTTATCACCTCACTTGATTCAAAGTCGCCTCACTGTGATGTCGCTGTCCTCTGACCGAGTCCTTGGATTGTTGGTTCAACCTTGAACTTATTACTTGACGTTTACTGGGATCCTCGCCTCGGCCGGACTTTAGGGGTACTTTGATTGATGGGTCGATCGCGGATTGTGGGAGGGTTTCAGCTTGGCGATTCTAGCGGGCTTATAGATGCATTGTAGCTGTTGAGGAGAGTAATTGGGCGACAAGTGGCGGACGAGCAATAAAGAGATAAAGATCTTATATGATCCGGGAGAGGGGGAAGGGAAACGGTTTAATTGAATCTAATCTACCTTGGAAGGAGGACGCTGAAGTCAACTGCCATTGCCGTCAACCGGAATCTTGCCATCCACAAGAGGAAGTCCGTGTGGCACCTTTGCCATCACCTGCCTGCCTTACCTGCACCTTCAGTCCTTCACAGACATCTGCATCGAGGACAGCACGCGACGCTAGCGGTAACGGCTTCAAGCTAGGCCTTCTGATAGGCCACTACCGGTTCTACAGCCCAGGATCAGAAACGCCCTAGCTGCAACATCCATCTCAAACTTCAACCAACCGAGCGTAGATTATTTACTAACTTGATATAGCACAGGCCGGTACCACCTTTACTCGTGTTGGTGATCTTTCTGCAAAGAGGCAATATCTCCTTTTAGTGTTGATACTTACTACTAGAGACTATCGATGCTAGTTTTGTATGAGACGGAAGCTTTGACGTGCACATCATGCTTGCTGTGGTCTAACAAATTACAGAGGCTGTTACAATTTTATGCTTCTATATTCAACCTCCTCGTATCGCCATCTCGAACCCTTCCAAACAAGGAATCTCAAAGCGAGCGTAAGTAAGATCCAAGATCCAGGATCCGGTAAAGTTCTAATGCAACCACAGCATGCAACCTAACTAACCAAGCCAACTGAACGTTATTACTTTTAACCGAGTTCTGTATGTCTGCGGCGTTGCTACAAGGGGTTGGTATTGGCTTTTGAAGATCTTAACGAAAGTCAATTAAGAAGAAGTATATCTAACATCCCCAGGTTTTAGTAGATTTCTTCTAACCTTTATTGACCCTAACTAAATGTTAGAAGTTTGATAATGGTAGTCGGTAGTAAATCGAAGGTCTCATGATTTCCGACTTAGACAAATGATCTGATTATTATCAAGTAGGACAGAAACTGTTATCAATGCATGGATACCTAGAATAAGAAGAACTTGCTTGTAGGCCACTAAACGATGCGGGGTTTCCAATACCTCCAACTTTGTTCCAGGACCCTGTTCCTAACACTCCAATGCCTACAACGCTCAGAACGATGAGCCAAAATGTGTCACTCTAACTGTGCCGTGTTCCGATATCCCACCAATCTATTCTTTTTCGTTCTGATCGCACCGAGGTGTCACATGTACTATTTAGCAAAGGAAGAAATAGAAGTGAGGGGTGATAGAAGGTTTGGCGTTACAATATACCCATGCATTATCTAGGTACACAGGCAATAGTCTTTGCCATGGAGAGAAATATTTTATAGCTTATTTATAGTAGCACCGGCCTATTGTAAGCATAATGCTTAGATAACATCCTCAAAGGAGGTTGCAATCACTATGTATCGTTTCTTTCTTCTACAGGAGATTTGGGGGTTATGCCAACGAGAATCTTCCGAGGCTATTTTCACGGACAAGAACACACGCATACCAGTACATCCTCACGGCAAGACTCTCTGGTATGTCAGGGAGAATTTAGCCTAACAAACAGGTCTCTAATACTTCTCACCCTTCTCATCAGACCTCACGATGGCTAGCAGTTAAGCCAAACATGGTGACAAGCTAGTCCATCTTGGTTACCAGAACAGCTGCTGTGCGACGTCGACCTCTATGAATGATAATAAGCTCTGGCAGTTGGACATGCGCAATCCTTGTCGAGTCAGGTAGGTGCAAAAGTCAATCAATGGTGTAGGTATAGTGTGCAAGAAATCTATTCAGGCGTTTGAGCGTATGGTACAGAGAGCCGCAATCAGATAAACCTCTGGACGACTTGACACCCAACTGACGAGCAATCGTACAAGGAGATAGCCCTCATTAGAGAGCAGGCTTGCTTCGTTCCGGCTCTAGGCATCTTTTCAACGAATATGTAGCCATTCCGTCGTGGTGGGAACCGACAACCTAGTGATATTGATACTTTATTTGAGCTGAGTCCAGAGCTTGGGAGCGGCGCAGGCGGTCGCACAGTGGGCAAGGTGGAAGACTAGATAAGTTGTTGGTTAGTATCTGGTGTAGTAGGTGGGATATTCGGGGTCCTCGGGTCCCATGACGCAGTCTGGGTTGGTAGACATACATTCTTCGACGCAGTCCTCCTTAGCGCCACCCTCACTCTCCTGCTGTTGAACGCGCTCAACGCACTCATCGAAGTGGTGCTTGGCGGGGGCACACTGGGGAGAGTTCTTGCACTCTGTTAATGCGTTAGTATGTATTGCGGGTTATATCGCGCCCAAGTCTGAAGCGATTGTGAAATCACCCGTGACGTTCCGGACACAAGATTGGCGTGAGGAATTGACGAACCTTCCTCGAGTGTCTCCTTAGGGTCAACGAGCTCCTCCTCGTCCTCCTCGTCCTCGTCCTCCTCTTCCTCGTCCTCAGCCTCTTCCTCGGGCTCGTCCTTGGGCTCGGTCTCCTCCTGTTCTTTGTCAGCATTTTATCACCTACTACGCAAGGCATTATATGCGCTCTCGACGAAGTCCCGTTGTAGTCAATCAATGGGAAGGTCGATGACACATAATGCCTTGCTGTGAAAAATCCCGTACCTGGGGTTCCTCAGCAGGGGCCTCAGCCTCAACAACGCTCCATGGCGTCACAGCCTCGACAATATCGGTGAAGGCGTCCCAGATACCCATTGCGACAGGCGGAAGAATTCACAATGGCGAGTGGTGGTTTCGATTGAGGTGTCGTTCGTCGATTAATCGTAAAGATCGGAAGGTCACGGCAAGCACTCGGCAGACCACTGAAATTGAAAACCAAGGCATTTTGATTGGTTAGGCTTTGTCATCATGGATCACGTGATATGTTCCTGATCCATCTTGCCGAGCCGCAAAACCTGTATGATTTGGTTGAATGGAGTTTGTCTACAGATTCTCGAATATTCATTAAAAGGTTGTCACGTTCTATTCTCAGACCCAAAAGCGGCTGGGAAGTTAATATTTCGCAATATAGGTCTAGCAAATCCCTTGAAACATGAAAACCCGAGAGAAAAACAAGAGATAGTATAATGAGTTCATGAATGCAGTGCTCAAATCTTGGTATCTGTAACACAACCACAGCCATTGGTGTGGTCCAACGCGGCCGTTAATCATCATTTTCGTATGCTCCCCTATCGATTTCACCCCGAATGTGGTCCTCCAATCGAATATTCAACTGCTGCGCCTGAGCCTCGTCATAATCTGGTGGTGGTTCGTCCGGTGCTCTCCTACTAGCGGCGCTCTCTGAGCGATTAGGGCGTACATCTGCCGAATTTGTAGTAGGTGCTGGCTGGGCAGAAGGAGCTTCATATGCTGGAAGAGGCTCATCGGGGACATCAGCACCGGGGCCCATCTCCCGGCGCATCTCTTGATACTGGTAAAGTCGCTCCCGGAGCCTTATGTAGGCTTCGTTGAAATCCATCATGCCCCCATCTGAAAATGTGAACTTGACCTCAAGCCGAGGAATATCTGGAGGAATGCCACCACCGGATACAGGAATACAATCTGATTTCCACACCCATCCCCACCACATGGATGATGAGGTGGTGGAATCTTGAAACTTCAGGATCGGAGCACTGAACGATTCAAATTTTGGTTCTTGAGTAGGTTTTAAAGGAAGATAAACGATCTGAAGCGTCAGTAGAGCATCTCGAGATAGATTCAATATCGACTTACTCTCTTGTTGGTCAGGAAAAGGGTGCCTTTATCACTCTTCCGTTGAAACGAGGCACATCGTGCTCTCAGCTCCTGGGGCACAGACAGGTCGCATGAGATTCTCGATTCGAGCTTCATCAAGATGCGTTCATTGCCAAGCTTGACGAAGCCGCCCTGATTGAGCATAACCCAGCTATCGGCATTGTCAGGATCGACGGGCCGCGAAGGAGGACGGCTTGTAATAAGATAGTCATGAGGATTGTCCATTATAGGGCGGGGTCCATGACTCCATGGGCCGAAGGTGGCGGGGCAGTCAACGGACGGACTGAGCCGTGGCCGCCGTGACCGGAGGGTACGGGGCGGAGAAGACGGCAGAGGGAGACGGGAAGGTGACGGAGGCCAGAAACGGAGACGGAGAGAGAGGGACGGTAATGCAAAGATGGGTATGGTATGGGCACAAGACAGGACAAGATACCACGGGAGGGACAATCTCTGAAGACTCGGTGCAGGACTAAAGCAGTGACCAAGAGGGCAAGGCTAAGGTTGACAAGACGGGACGGGAAGGATGGAAAGCTCAGAGAAAGAGATTCAAGAAAGAGGTTCGCGAAAGAGGCTTACTTTATCGACATTGTCTCGTACAGGGTTCAAGCGACCCTAGCTCGTGGGCAAATGGCTCCAGGCTCCGTACCGGCAGGTTCAGGACGTGCAGGCAACTTTAGTAGCTCCGAGATCTTGGAGCGGGTGGCTCTGGGCTGCGGCCGGGTTGGCCTTTGGCCTTGTCTTGCCTTGGGTCCTTTGGGGCCTGGTGGTGCTGTAGTGGGGGGTGGGTCGTTTTGGAGTCTGTTCCGTTTTGCGAGCGAGGGAGCGGACGAGCGACTTTGTGCTAAGGCCTAAGGGTATCCGTAGGTACAGTAGAGGAGGAGAAAGCCAAAGCTCCAAGCCAGCCGAGGATGATTGTCAGGGTCGTCGAATAGGATCAAGATGACCCGAGGCCAAGGGACAGGATCGACTAGGGGACGAGACAAGAGATGCTGCAGCGGTAGGAGATCCCAAGCTAAGGAAGCAAGCGACCAAGCCAAGCCTAGGAATGGATAAGGATAGGTATAGTACTGTAACGAGGCGAAGAAACAGGCAGAGACAGGCAGAGGAGGCACAGGGACAGCCCGAACAAAAGCTTGACTGAACTGAGCTGCTAGGCTGACCTGACGCTGGCTGACTGACTGGCTGGCTGGCTGTAGGTATGACCGTCTGACAGACTTGGCAGAGCAGTTCCAGAGAGTGCAGAACAGAACGAGACAGAACAGGTGGCTGGTGGCTGGAAGTGGTGCCGTAATGAGGTGGGGGAGGCGGCGATTTGATCGAATTTGCGGGCGAAGATAGATTTGATTTGTGGACGTTGGGTCAAGGTCACAGGCAAAGAGAACGATGTGATTGATGTGTGATGCGTGATGGTGTGATATTGGAGGAAGAATGAAGACCGATGGACAAAGCAAATAAGGCTAGTCCTGAAGCTGTGAGGTACTCTACTACAGGGCAATGCCAAAGACGGGCAGGTTCGGTGGTGGATGAGGTCGGGTGTGATTCGTGAAGGAATTGCTAACCCAGGGCCAAAGTTTCAGTGGATTGGATTAGGTTGGACTTGGAGATGCGAGAGTTGGGCGCTGCGGCTCGTTTTTTCTTGGGCCGAGCCGCGCGGATGATCTGGTCCAAGAACTGCCTGTTCACGTTAATTAGGTGAGCTGAGGTTACCTTGGAGCTATCCTCTAGGTGACATTCAGAGACGGTGATTGGCCAAGCGACATCGCAATGTATCGACTTCCCATGTCCCATGGCTGGGTCTGTTAAGGTTGAAACAATCCACCACGTGCTTCTCATTGAACTGATGCTTCCCTTGTTGTATCAGAGTTGACAATCACCAGAACAAACTACTAACCTACCAGTCTACCACTGCCCTGGGAAACATCCTGGCACGGGCAGCCTCTAACAAACATAACGTCCGTCCGTCCCGTCTCAACCACCAAACGCCTTTTTCTGTAACGTCATGTTCCATCTAATTTTCCTTTCTTCTCATGGATGGACCCCTGACGTTGAGCTTCTCTGACCCCTGCTGAGAAAGTTGTGTCCGCCGCAACCCTGAACAAGTCAATTCTCAGGATCGTCTTCCCCCCTCCCATATCGTTGTCCTCCACTATTATCAGCTATCACTATCAGCCAAGATCTGGCAGCTCAAGTCGATCATCTGGTGTCTCCTCTCAATCAATGCCAAGCTAGGTTACGGGCAGGGTTATATGCTGTGCCCCGTTCACAAATAGAGCATCCCATGCTTTTCAGGTCGTCCTTTTACCACGAGTAACCAAAATCTAAATCCATACCTAGGTAGAGAACAATTCCCTCCATGTGGGATGTCACAACGTCAGTTCCATCACCCGACATGCTCGCCCCGTTAGCGAGTACTAGGTAGCAACAACTGGGACCCATCTCTGCCCGGCCCCAGAACAGCATCCACCAAGCCAACATCATCCCAGCCGTGTCAATCTAACGAGACGGCTGACGGTGATTGATGTGGAGGCGCATGGCTCCTCGCCCAATTCGACATGATCAAATGTCCCCGCCACGAATCATGATGATGATAATGGGGAGGGGCATCGAGTGTTCCCCTCACACGCCAGGTATAGCCATGATGGTATGCATCTTTTAGCTGCATTTCTCAGCAGTTGGTGCACTCATTCGTGGTCGTTCTACTTTATAGGGCAGGGATAGTTTGGTTCAAATCACTCATGAACCCCCCTCGTTGCAGATGTCAACACCAATTAACGGTCTGGATCTGTTTCGAGGATCTTATGTGGAGGACATGGCCAGCACATATACTCTTCTTCATGCCAAAGAAAGGCTCAGCAGCGCAACTAACAAGGCTTCCCCCCAATGAGTCTCTATTATCCGGTTCCGCTTCATAGATTATCCTACGCAGTAAGCCAGAAGCAGTCATTAACAGCTGATCTTAGCATAAGGAGATGTCTCATTGCTCATGTGTGTCTGTACTGTTGTCTGAACGAGCAGTCTGAACCCAGTTGAGCAAAGCTCTCATCGCCTTCAACCCAGCCTTGAAGCACATGTCACAAGTTGACCGGACCCTTGGAATGTCCGTGTGTCTGGGGTTGAGTTGATAGAACGGACGGGTTGAGCTGTCTAGCCCAAGCACCTTTAGCTAGCGTAGCATCTACTTTTGACAGCATCTATTCCATGTGGTAACAGGAATGGATGAGTCCGCTGTAACGCATAGAATCGCGGCTTGTCACGTTAGGAAATTGCAAGCCGCTCTTTATTTCTTTTCGGCCGGTTGCCACGTTAGTCGTATATCGCTGTTTTGTTCTTGTATCATCAGAATTTCCGTTGATGTCTGGTGAACCCCACCTAATGCTCACCATAGGGACCAGCTTCATACCAAAAATCTACTCTGCAACACCAGCCTCTCTGAAACATTAATCATGCCTCGCCATGACTCGTTGCCCGAAGGAAGCCGGTCGTCTACCGCGGCGATAAAGAATATGTATCTAGGCGTAGGCCATGCTTGGACACCATCTTGATCTTGGCCCTTGCTCATAAGACACGTCACATTTGGGTACCCTGAGTCCTCGTCACTGACTGATTGATACCAGGACGGGAACTGATAGTCATTTTTGCGTCATGTACCAACAAACGAAAGAGAGAGAAAAAACCTTCCTGCGAATAGTCCAGAAGAGGATCCGAAAGAGAGAAGAGTAAACAAGAGACGTCATGCCAGGGTTGCTCCGCTTGAGCTCCTAATCTATCTCTGTCGCTAGCTCACAGTTGCAGTCGCAAATAAAACGCCAGTTCCTCGTCAACTTTGAATTTCCGTCCAGGGCCAGATCCTTCGAGTTGAATGATTGGCCTCGGCCAAGCTCTCCCTGGCCATCCCCCACCTAGTTCGTGCATCCAAAGCATGTGCTGGTAATGCTTCTGATTGGACTGTACGTCCCGGTTGATGGGAGGCTCCGGAGTCATGGAGCTCCAAGTTCCACTACGACCTGAACTTCCTGCGATTACCGGCAAGTTCTAACCCGGGGGCTATAACGCACTTACAACGTCAAAGAGGCTTTTAATCTTCGAAACTGCAACTATTTGATAGTCCTTGCTCACCGACTCGCCGTATTCGCTAACATCGTGTTGCCCTTGGACGCTATCAGCATGAGTTACCACGCCGAGGACTTGGTAAAGCTGCAGCAGTATTCCGCTTGTGATATCTCGGACGCACTCCTCAAGTTAAAGGTTCCCGGCGCCGGCTTTGTTGCCGATCTGAACCTATACAGCTCTCCTGAAGGTGATGCAACATCGGTTACCGTTGCTCCAGTTTCAACAGTTCTCTTCGCCGCAAAGGGACAGAATGTCCCAGAAATACAAAAGAACATCCCTGAGGGAACCCATTGGGCCGATCTGACAGAACCAGGAACCATTGTGGTTCTCAAGCAGCCCGATGGTCAAAAGAATGCTGTTTGTGGTGGGATCATGGCGGTTCGCATGAAAGTGTGCCAAGCCAAGGGCATTGTTGTAGCTGGGCGAGCCAGAGATATAGCGGAACTAAAGAGTACTTCCTTACCAGTGAGTGCCATTTACCCTGCTCTTGGAACAAGCTGAACTCGGAGGTACAATGCAGATTTGGGCTCGAGGGCTGTCCACCGTTGGGGTCGGTGGAGGGAGCGTGCCCTGGGCGATCCAGGTACCTCTCGACATTGATGGAACCCTCGTCTCTCCTGGCGACCTTGCATTTAGCGATCCAATCAACGGGGTGGTGGTCATTCCTCAGAACAAGGTTTCTGAGGTCCTCGAATTGCTGCCCAAGCTGACAGCCGCTGATGAAAAGGTCAAGGACGATGTGCTCAAAGGTGCAACGGTTTTTGAGTCCTTCAAGCTTCATCGAAGCAATCTTTGAACAGCATCCGTCATAGGGGATAAAGAATACAATACTACTACCTTGGACCAAAAGTTTTCATGACAACAAGGGCACAGCATACGGTGGCTGGCTGGTCCTGAGCGTCACATAGGCTGTACATCACGGGACCACGTGAGATCTACAAGGAGTTTGTGTCAAGTAACCCGAAGCACGGATGAATGGGTCAACAATACAGTTTTTTGTGTCATCAGTTCATTAACATGCCATCATCAAAGTAGGATCTCTACCATGACTTCCAAACAACCAACAATCAACCATAGCTCCAGACCAACAAGGAAATACATGCAAGAAACAAATGCTGGCACTCCAAGATTTGCCATTTCATCACAGCCACATGTCCTTCTCCTTACTCGGAGTGGATGCCTTATCCAACCCAAAATCGAGCTTCGGCATCTCAAGCTTTGGCGCCGCCTCGACCGGTTTCTTCTGACCACCTCCAGTTTTCTTTGGTGAAGCCCGAGCGTCAGGGGGCGGCCCGTATCGCACATCCTTGACATCCCAGCCATCCTCGGCCGCCGCTCCGACCCATGTCCGAAGCCCGTCATGCACGCTTCCATAGAACTTCTCTTTGCAGAGTCGTAGACTACCACCAAGGCATCGCTCCCATCCCGAAATTCGGAATTGTGCGCGGAGAGTGTTGCGCTCCTCTTGTGTCGGTGTGCAGGCCAAAATGGCGTTCATGAGATCGAGATGAGAAGCCAGGTAGTTGGTCGCATCCCATTCGACTCCGCCCACATATGGTGCTGCTGGGACCGGGGGGCGCTCTTGAGGGAAATGTCGAAGCATGTAACTGTACGGACCGGGGGCAGGGTCACACGTCGAGGGGCGGTCCGAAGGAAGGGATACAACGTTGACGTTGTGAAGGAAGATCCAGAACACTTCCTTAGTGACGCTAACAACCTCCTTGCTCCAAACGCGGTATGGCCTTTCTTGTCTCATCTCTAGGACAAATGGCAATGGGCGCTGATCTTCCTTTGGCTCGGGGTCTCTGAGGTGTGCGAGAATGCTCTGGGCTCTTGTGACCCGTTCGGCTGGTGCAGCAGACTCAATATACGTGAACAAGACAGATGTTATGATGTTACGAGTGGTGAACTCGCTGGGACCCTTCTTCTCTGGGTCGAAAAGCATGTGTAGGAGCTTGGGAAATAGATCGCTCTGGATCGTGTGAAGATATTGCATGGCGCGAGCTGTCGTCGACAGTGCCTTTAGACAGAGAAGATTCTCGTGCAGCAGTGCATCTTCATGTTCCTCCCTATCAATTGTTAGTCACGTTTGTAGAACACACCTTGAATCTGACTTACCTCCATTCAACCTCCATGATGCGGTTGAGCAGACCTACAATCTCCTTCATGCCGCCTTGCTGAATGAAGTCCTCGATCCATGCCACTGTCTCGTTCCTGAGAAGCAGTCGTAGCTTGTGAACTTTGCCGACCTCGACAAGTTCTGGTTTTTGAACCTTTCTAAGATAGGCCACGTAATCGCCTGGGCCTTGGTTGAGCTTAATCTTGGAAAGAATTCCAGAGTTGGATACGGAGCCGCTGGATCCAGGAGGCCCTTCGCTGACCACGCTGTCGGTGGACTTGCTTCTGAAATGACGACCCAATGTCCCTTCGCCCTTTGACTTTTTGATGGGAGAGCCTGGCTCCTTTGGTTCCTTTCTTCCTCGTGAGAGAGTAAAACTCTTGCCTCGCGATCGCTTCTGTTTCTCCTCATTTTGCATACCGGCTTCCATGACCAAGCCGCTGTTGGCGCTGTCTGTTGAGCATGATCTCTCTGTCCGAGAAGCCTGTGATTCCGCCCAATCCTGGCGGATAAACTCCATCTTGATAGTGTTGCTCAGGTTCCTCATCTTGTATCTCTGGTTCTCTGGAATGTTCCGTCGGTCCAACATGGCTTCAAGGTGCTTGTCAATATCCTTGGGGTCAAGCACGGCCTCAGTCGGCTCAGGCACAACTGACGTTGACTTGGATCGGCTGTGGTTGAATGTAGTAAAGACGCTCAAGACCTTACCTCGACCGCTCTTACTCTTGGCTTCAGTCGAGTCTTTTGATCCCTTTCGGGAATCATTAGAAGTGCGTGCCTTGGTTGGTGAGGGGGGTGGTTCCATTCTTCCCAGCATGGGATGGTATGATTTCGGTCGCTCCTTGACGGCGACTCGACTGCCATTATAAAGATCCTGAGCACTTGGTGCCCGTGCTTCGTCCATACTACGGCGTGTGCTTTGGGCTGGTTCAATGTTCGGTCGAGAGGCAAACTGAGAATAAATGGGTGTCGGTGCAGGGTCCGCTACAGGTTCTTCGGCAGTTCTGTTTTCTTTGTCCTTGGATGAATTGACATTGTCGTCGGATCCGAACCTGCCCAAGTTTCGCAGCGTCTTGGGCTTGAGCAGACCAGCCAGGTTAGTTGTTGACTTTGGCCGTTTCGGTTTAGTGGGAGAGGGATCGCGAGATTTCGAGCCTTTGGCTTCTTTGCCGGGTGCTGTTATGATGGTGAAGTTGCCAAAGCTGCTCTTGGTCGGGGACTGTGATCGGCCTCTGTCCTGTCGCCGTGAGAAGCGTCCGGAGGACTCTTGCTGGTTGTATTGTAGTTCTGCCAGTGCCCCTGGGTTGGAGTAGTTCTCAAAGACCATGATCTTGGGCTGTATAGGAGAGACAGGACCATCGAAGGGGGCCTGGAATGAATGGGTATCGGTGGAAGCTTGACGACGATGCATGAAGCCCTCGAGGATGGAGGACTTGGGCCGTGGTCGTCGACCGGCGTCGAAGCTATTTACGTCGTTTGAATTCATGGTGTCGAGCCACAATATCCGTGGTTATATGAGAGCTGCTAAGTAGCTTTCGTCACAACGATATCTGTAGAAATGAAGATTTAAAAAGAACCTGGTGATGAACAAAACTAAGTCTCACGCCAACTGATGAGAATAAGAAGCCAACTAAGACTGCGAATTGGGCTACGCCATTGCAGAAAGAATAAAAGTAAGGTAAAGTTGAGAAGACAAGCTGGAGCTGGAGCTGGAGCTGGAACTGGAGCTAGCAACAAAGTAGGTCGCTTAGGTAGCCAGAGCCAAGGCACTATTTGACAAGCCGTTGACTGTTTATTGGGAAACGGCCGTTGACCGGGTGACGGGGCCCTATCTTATCGCACCAGTGATGGCAGACGATGATGATGCACGATGGCAGAATAGGTCGTACAAGGCTATATTTGCTTGCTTGTAGTAATAATAACAATGATCGGGCAACTGTTTTCTTTTGTTTTTCGCTCCTCCAAGCGTGGGAGCTGGAAAGGCGATTCGTGGTCGAGTGATGCTATCGCTTACAGCGTTAATTAGCCAAGCAGCAATTTCATTAGTTCACAGGCTTCACAGGCTGAAAGATCCATATTCAATAAGTACCTCCTACAAATCAATTTAAATTAAAGTGAATACTCGGTTCTCATTTCGCTCCAATGCTACGTATACACTTTACTGAACATACATGTGTCGGTTGGTGTATTCTCTTATCACACTCATATCATGAGTACTCTTGAGGCCAAGGGTCGCCATGACTGCTGAAAACATCAGCTGGGGACATCCTTGTTTGTTGTTTAGCTTGTATGAATCGCCGGGCTACACAAGCAGCCATAACATCTTTCTCACGTTCGTATTAAAGCCATGGTCATGAGCAAGGGTATGTCATCATGACCTCCTCTCAATGGTTGCTCAATGGTATTTTTAGTTAAAAAGGGAACATCGTTTCACATAATAATATCCAAATGTTTAATAGCACGAGAAGAAGGCCGTTAGTGGCTTTGTGCCGGGATCAACATCGGGGAAGTCAATGCGGGGTACGGAGAAATCTAGATGCAATTGGACCAGCTTAACAAAATTCCATTCATATGTAGGTTCAACATGCCCCGAAAATAGTCAATAGACCGTTTAATCAAATAGAGATTATTTTGAAGACAGATTGAGATCAATTGCGTCTCATGATGCACAGCAAGTCAGATGGATCTCGTACCATGAGAGCCCTGTCATCATGAGTCTGGGCTGTTGATACAATCCAGGTGTCATGATGAGCGTCTAACAGGTTATATCATTTCAAGGGTTTTCACTAGTGACTAAATAAATTTCAAAATGCTCATGTTAACAAAAGCCAACTGCCCACTCATTATCATCGGTCCAATACCGAAATCATATCCGTCAACATCTGCCGCCGTAGACTACCGAGGCCGGCCCCCGTCCCCGGACTTAGACCCACGGCCACCTACTAACCAACCGTAACTGTATTGAGCATGCATCATAGGTACCTAGGTAAGGTACCCAGTAGGTAGCTCAGTTCCGCGTGGTCCTCCACTATGCCCGTTAGGATAAATGTTTAAGCCTGTCTCTCCCCTCCATCATCCATCATAACGACTCAAATCCTTTTCTACATGTGCTTTCTCCTCCAACAATAATCTCAGCCCTGCTTCATTGATCGTTGACTGGGTTCTGCTGTGGATTCTAGCTTCGGCTTATATGCGATCTACACTCATCTCAAAGCTCCGAGCAATACCTATCGCTGCCAAAATGCCTGTTCATCATCTTATGGTTGGTACCTGGACTCCTCCAGGTGCCATCTTCACTTTCGCCTTCGATGATGAAGCTCTCACACTTAAGCTTGTGAAAAAGACCGAGATTCCCAAGGATGAGCCAATCTCATGGATGACATTTAGTGTAAGCTCATCTATGACTCTGCAAGATGTTAACTCACAATGTAGCCCAGCATGATCGCAAAGCTATTTACGGTGCTGCTATGAAGAAGTGGTCCAGCTTCGCCGTCGAATCGCCAACTTCGATAACTCACCAGGTCTCTCACCCAATGGAGCACGATCGTAAGTCACTTCTAACCAGTTCGTATACTGGAAACTAACCTCAACAGCCAATGCTTCTCTTGCCACCACAAACACCCGTGCCATCTTCCTTCTCGCAGCGAACAAGCCTCCTTATGCCGTTTACTGCAATCCTTTCTACGATCACGCTGGCCACGGTGCTGTCTTCACCACCGATTCCACTACAAAGGCTCTTAAGGAAAATGTCCAAAACTACCCTTACCAGCCTAATACGGGTATTCACGGGATGGTCTTTGATCCTGAGGAGGAATATCTTTATTCTGCCGACCTTCGTGCTAACAAGATCTGGACACATCGCCGTGTTAGCAAAGACGATCCTTCTCTTGAGCTGGTCGGTTCTGTTGATTGTCCTGATGCTCGAGACCACCCTCGCTGGGTGGCCATGCATCCTACTGGAAACTACCTCTACGCTCTTATGGAGAAGGGCAACCGAATCTGCGAGTACCTCATCGATCCCACAACTCGTCTGCCCGTTTACACTCATAAGCACTACCCTCTGATCCCTCCAGGTATCCCCGATAGGTGGACACAGTACCGCGCTGATGTCTGCGTGCTTTCGTCCTCGGGCAAATATCTCTTTGCCTCGTCCCGTGCCAACTCCTTCGACCTGACAGGTTATGTGGCCGCCTTCAAGCTCTCGGATACCGGCGCCATTGAGCGCCAGATCTGCCTGAATCCTACACCTACGAGTGGTGGACATAGCAATGCGGTTGCACCTTGCCCTTGGACAGATGAGTGGGTAGCGATCACGGATGATCAAGAAGGTTGGCTGGAGATCTACCGCTGGCAGGATGAGCACCTCGCCCGTGTGGCAAGGGTTAGAACACCAGAGCCTGGCTTTGGCATGAACGCCATCTGGTATGACTGAGAGCACATCAGTATGGATGAATAGAAGAAGGATCAAGTTACAATGAGACAAAATTTGACGTCAAAAAGTATTATAGTTGCCATGGTTTGGCTGCTGTCATCAATGCTGCAGAGGTGTATTAACTAAACCCTACCTGGTGTGCCCAACAGTAAAGGCCCTGGTTTAGATTTGCCACTCCTAAGAAACGATTCCATCAAACCCTATTCTTCATACCACTCAACATACCCCTAATGCCGACCATTTGTTTTACGGCTGTGGTCATCTTCGTCGTCGTCGATAGCTTCTTCGTGATCCTCAGCTAACAACGGTGTTCGTTCATGCCCCTGAGTCCGCCCCTGCGATTGTCCGTGAGTACTCGTGAAACCTATGTGGGATGCAGCGCGCGGCTGGGCAGGTCTTGAGCCATCATTGGGGGGCGTATGGGTCGCACCGAGGCCTTGTTTGATTTTGAAGAGGCTGCGGGTATTGCTGCGGGGGTTCGCAGCTCGGTTAGCAGGTCCAAGACGAAGTTGAGACCTCATTTCATCTAGACTAGCCTTCACAACAACTGGGGTGCCTTCTATGCCACCATCAGAGGTCCGGCGCTTCATGTGAATAGCAGTCTTGGCAGCATTGTGGAATCCTCCTTCATAATTGCTGTGGAAAGAAGCAGTCTCGACATTGGGAGGGTATTCCTCGGCGTGTTCTTCAACATCGACCAAAATAGAGTCGCCCGGGGCCTTCTTAGTGGCCATTGCGGCGGCGGCAGCGGCAGTTGCGTGAATTCGGCGGGCTCGGGGTGCAGGAGTAAGACGTCGGATAGCCTTGTGTACATCGACATAGACATCGGATTCGTCAACAATTTCCCTGTTTGGTCAGTAATGCTCCTCATATGCGAGATTGTCTACTTACTCTCCAATCAATTCCTCAATCACGTCTTCAAGAGTAACGACACCTAGGGCACCATGGTCCGAGCCGGGAAATTCTGATACCAGTACCATGTGCGATTTACCCTCCTGGAAGAAGTTGATGATGTCCAGACAGCTGGTTTCAGGGCGAGTTTCGACAATTGCTCCGAGAGGCACATCGCGGACGGGAATTCTATCTTCAGGATCATAGGTGATGAGTGTCTTGACCAGAAGCATGCCAACAAAGTCCAAGTGATTCCCAGAACGATAAATAGGAATTCGCGAGTACCCGGAGGATAGAATATCATCCATGGTCTTTTCGTCGAGGATGTGGTCTTCGGCAAGCGTATAAACATCGGAGATGGGCGTCATAACTTCAGCAACGGGCTTGTCCTTCAAGTCCAAAACGGCTGTGATAATCGTAACCTCATCCTGGTTCAAACGCTCGGAAATCTCACCCAAAGACTTGTGGAGGGTGACTAGCGTCTTGAGTCCGCTCTTCTTGTACAAGGTACCATGATCCTCGCCCAGAATCCAGTCGAGAAGCTTCGCAATTGGCCAAGAAACCGGAGCGGTCAGATACATGAGAAGAAGAACTGGGGTAGACATGTATCCGCCGATAGGAAGACCATATCGAACACAGATGGACTGGGGAACAATTTCACCAAAAATAACTGTTGCGGTTAGCAAAGCTTACCAGAGTTATCATGTCTGACATACCGATGAGAACAGTACTGCCAACGACAGCGGCAACACCTCCTCCAAGAGTTCGGTCCAATACAACGGGAAGGGACTCGTTGACAATGACATTGGATAGCAGCAGCGTGACCAGAACCCAATGCTTTCCTCGTTTTAACAATTTCAGCACACGTTTCGCATTCTTAGACTGTGATTCCGCGGGATCGCCCGATAAAACCTGGAGATAAATGCTGTCTTGTCCCATCAAACTGGGTAGGTCAGCATGCGTCGCGCATCGCCAAGAGGGAGGGGGACTTGCGCAATTGTCAATCCAGCAAAAGCACCACCAAGAAGCACCAGAACCATTGAGGCAACAGCGAGGACCCAGAGGCTGGGACCGCCCTCTTCGCCAGCGTCATGGTGGCCCTTGGTGTCAACCGGAAAGGCAGAGACAGCCGTCAAACTGGCACCAAAGACTCGGCCCATGCCAATGACAGCCGGGCGTATTGAGCCCATATTGTATCGTGCAGCGTTCGCCATTGTGACGGGATGTGTATACCGTATATCGAGTGTGTGGGTATATGAGTTATCTCGTCACCACAAGGCGAGGCGGGAAGACCGCAAATGTCGATTGTCGAAGGTCAGATTGAGTTGAACGCGTTCAAGGCAGGCCAAGGTAATCAATTTCCGACGGATAGGCACAAGCGATCTTGGCAAGGCTTACACGATAATGACCGGAATGTGGCTGAGACAGGGAAGCTCGGGGTCAAGATGAAGCTTGAGGAGATGCTGTCGGTAAGAATGTGAAGCTATTCGGACAATTGACGTATTTTTGCTTCGTTTCGTCTAGTCAAAGATTCAACCTTTTCGCACCAAAGGCGAGCTTTGATGAAGAACAAGAACGACGAGGCAAAAGAAGTGGGACGAAAGGGTTGGAATTAGCTACCTTGTCCTTGGAGGATACGGGTCATCTAACTCGCGAGCATGATGACGCAGGGAGCTATCAGGGAGGAGAGAATGATTCTATTGGTGGAGGTGTCCACTAGACCAGGTCCAGATCCCGAATGCAGCAGACAAAATCCACTAAAGCCTTGACGTTGCAGAAGCTAAAACCGTTCGTTACGATGCCCTTAGTTTCCCAGCTAAAATCCGGATGAGGTCATGATAAAGGCAATCAATTTATCCATTGTCAACGAGAGGCAAGAAAACTGAGGGTCTCTATAACGAAATGACAAAAGGATTGGTGCAAGCTTAGAATGTACAAGGTAGACTTTTAGTTTTAATCATTAGCACCCGAAGCTTAGGGCTAGAAATTTCTTGCTGGAGTGCATGTGATAATCGTCCCATGTGAAGGTTTATTTGGACTTTTTTTTGTTTAATACTTCTAAGCCAGTACTTGCATTGCCATCCCTGAGCATGTTGAATGGTATCCTCACGTCGTTCCACTAACCGGCACCATGATCACAGCTTAACCAGTCCAACGTCAAGAACTCCTGGGGAGTTATTCAAGTCCTCCAAAACTTCACCACTCACTGGCCCGAGAACACCAAGAATCATCAATGCCTCGTTGCCTTTCGGGTCAGGCGGGGTATCGGCTCCCTTAGTAGCTTCGGGATCCAGACTGGCCACTTGCATGAACTTGATGTTAACCCCGTGATTGCCGAGCACCATACCAACACCTCCGATCTTGCCAGGCTCATCGTAGTTGTGCAGTATAATCAAGGTTCCTTCCGGTGTAAAAACGCCATTGAACCTGTCCAGCTTGGAGATGAAGACTCGTTCGTCACTCGCATAGCCTTCAATCACCTGCTCACTACCACTGCTACCAGCCTGGTATGAACGCAGTGTCACCAGGTTGGCATAAGTTGAAGGCGAATCGCCAGACCGAGTCTCGCTAATCACAATGCCTTTCTCTTTGGCAATGAGTGCTGCGTTGACCATGTTGATATGCGAGTCGCTGAACGTGGACACGAGACCTTTAACAAGAGCAGCAAACAGCGGCTTGGTGTTGGCCATGCCAGCAAGGTCGCCGTGATATATGAGCTCGAATCGACGGCCCCCTATCATGCCTCCTTTACTGCGCACAAAGTGCTGCGTATAGAGACGGCCCATCTTTTCGACAAGCTGCACAGATGGTTGCAGTTTACGATACTCTTCCGGCATGATAATAGGGGCATTGACAGCGCTAGTAGGAAGTCCACCTTGAAGAATCTCGAGGACCTGCTTGCAGACATCCATGGAAACATTCTCCTGTGCCTCAACCGTTGAAGCTCCCAGATGAGGTGTTGCCACAACCTTGGGGTGTTGACTGAGCCGGGCTGCTGCTGAGTCTGGGGCCAATGGCTCTGAAGACCAGACGTCAATGCCCGCTCCTGCGATCCATCCCTCATCAAGTGCTTTGGTCAAAGCCTCCTCGTTGTAAACACCACCACGTGCAACATTGAGCACACGAGCTGTCTTCTTCATCTTTTTAAACTCTGCCTCGCTAACCAAGTCCAGCGTTGTGGCAAGTAGGGGCGTGTGAATGGTCAGAAAGTCAACCACAGGGAGCAGGTCCTCCAACCCAGGAACCAGCTCAACGCCTGTTTGACGAGCCATGTCGGTGCTTGCATAGGGGTCGACCGCCTTGACTGTCATACCGAGACCTATGGCCATGCGAGCAACATTCATTCCAACCTTGCCCAATCCGATGATCCCGAGGGTCTTGCGCCCAACTTCAACTCCCACGAGCTTGCTTCGCTCCCAGCGGCCAGCTTTGACACTGCTGTCTGCCTGGCCCACATTACGAGCTGTTGAAAGAAGCAGTGCAATAGTGTGTTCTGCCGCTGCAAGGATGTTGCCCGAAGGAGAGTTCACAACAATAACGCCTTGGGCGCTTGCGGCAGGGACATCTATGTTGTCAACTCCAACACCGGCCCGAGCAACAACCCTCAGCTTCCGTCCGGCTTGGACGACTTCGGCCGTGACTTGCGTCTCGGAGCGAATAATTAGGCCATGGTAGTTAGGGATCAAATTGATAAGCTCGGGGGCCGTTAAACCTTTACGGATGTCAACGTCAAAGTGAGGGGTGAGTAAAGCCAGTCCATCTGGAGATACTTTCTCAGGTACCAGGATCTTAAGACGGTTTGAGTGGCCAGCAGACGGTGTGTCAAAAGTAGCTGAAGGGGACATGGTGAATTGAGTATGTTGTATTCTTAAGTACTTGCAAAGACGGTGTGCATCCTAGGAAACTCAAGTTCAAGTGAGAGGGCACAAGGCCTAGTATAAGTAAAGAGATCGAGATGACGTCCCCCCTCTTGTTTTTGTCCTCCCATGAGACAGTCAACCGCCACCTTTTTGGCTACCCAATCCAATGAGCCCAGATCAGCCTTGATCACCGTTTCTCAAAGTAAAAGTCCTTAATAAGAACGGGCAGATTGAGATGCAGAAGTCTGTCCTCCCATGCAAGCACCCCACGGAGGCAGTGATCTCTGGCGCGGGGGTGGTTCATCTGTTCAGCGAGTGAAGTATTGTGATTACCGTCGGAGTACTACGGCACGGTACAGGATATGGCTGGGCACCAATAACCATCAATGTCCGTGGAGCTTGAAGCTTGAGCTTTGGTGTGGCACCTGTATCTCAGACTCAGCCTAAGCTGCAACCCCTCATTTCTCCATGTTCAACTACTGCAAGCCACGGCCCGTCGTGGGGTACATAACACAAGCATTCCAGTGCCACCGCTGGAAACGACCCGTGTCTCCCGGGCAAAGGAGTCCAGTTGTGTTGGATACGCTCACCTGGTACATGACGGGCGAGAACCCGGCAACATGGCTTACCGGTCAACCTAGAATATAGTCTCAATGTGCGCAAATGCCTGGATCGATACTATCGAATCGATTCTCTGTTTTAAGGGCGCTATTAAGTAATTGACCTCCAACAGAAATGGATATCGCTGTAACTATCAAGGTACAAGATGGCTATTTGTATGATGAGAGCCTTAAGCTGTGGGAAAAACAACCAGAGATCAATTTCTTGCCCCACGCCTTTTACATTGCGCATCAATTCGTTCTGCAATATTATGCTAATTGGCTTCATTTTTCTTCTTATGTGGCTGAGTTTGCGTAGATTTTATGCCTTATTTTATGACATCGTTTCTAAGTTTGATTTCTTAATCTCAAGATACAAGGCTCCGTTGTTATAGGATATGAAAGTATGGACATCTAGAAGTTCTCCTTGCCAGAGAACTTCTCATTCTGTACAAGCTCAATCCAGTAGCCATCAGGATCCAGCAAGAAGGCAACGTTCTTCATTCGGCCGTCTGTAAGCCTCTTCTTCCAGCTCACGTTCAAATCCTCGAATCGCTTGCAAGCCGCATCAATGTTGTCAACCGAAACGCCTAAACTTGTCAGCTTCATGCATCCTCTCCTATACAGGTAGTAACTTACAGATGTGGCCAAATCCCTGAGGCTGGCTGTTGCCATCATGATAGTGGAAGTTCTCGTCTTTCTCAGTGCCATAGTTCCATGTCAATTCGAGAAGACCCTCCCGATGGGTGATGGTATTCTCATCCTGGCCGTCAGGGAAAGGCTGATCGCCAGGGTAGCCAAGGAAGTATAGGTTGAAGCCGGCCTCAGGGTTCTCGAGGGTGCGCAGTCGGGACATGCCAAGAACCTCCTGGTAGTACTTCAAAGACTTCTCAGCATTTTTTACACGGAGCATGGTGTGATTCTATATCGTTAGCTACATATTCTAGAAGATCGACAAGGATAGTGAACAAACCATAGTGTAAGTTGACACATCAGTCTCCTTCACATCTTCCGTCTGCTTGTAATCATTTCTGGCAACGACCTCGACCCAGTAGCCATCAGGGTCAAGTACAAAGGCGATGTTTCGCATGCGTCCATCTGTCAACTTTTTCTGGAACTTGTAACCAGCATCCTCAATACGCTTGCAGGCGGCCTGGATGTTGTCGACGGCAATGCAGGTGTGGCCAAACCCACGGTTAGGCTCTTGGTTACCGTTGTTCACCTTGTACTCAGGGTCATCCTCAGTGCCATAGTTGTGAGTCAACTCGATGAGTCCTTGTCTGTCGAAAGTGCTCTTGTTGTGTGACAGGGCATTGGGAGAGTCATAGCCGAAGAAGTAGAGATCGAATTTGCTGTCAGGGAACTCGAGCTTCTTAACAAGACTCATACCAAGGAATTCATAGAATCTAGCTGCATTTGAGTCAATATTCGCACAAGTACTGAGTTTGTTCAATTTAAGCTTAAGGTGAGGCTTGATGATCAGGGCTGTGGACATCAAGGTGTCTGACATACCGGAAGCCTTGGGGTCCTTGACTCGGATCCTTTTGGACCGAGTTAGCAACTACTTTCGTACCGAAGATGCATGAAGATCTGCACTTGCATTGAGTGGTTGAACTTGTAGTTCTTGGTATCTGTAGTTGAAGCCATGGTGACTAATCTGGATTGTCCAGTAGCAATAGCAGGTACAGGGATACGAGGAACTGTCTGTCTAGTAAGAAAGTTTTGAATGGATCTGATGCGCTGTGCGGCTCTTGCAAAGTTCATTGAGCTATTGGTGCAGTATGAATTGAATCTGTGAGAAGTTCTTGGATTTTATCATGATAGTTAGCCGAAACATCGTTGAGGTAATGCCCCTCCATACCCCACTTCCGGTCTGACGTCAAAGCATGGAAGCAGAGAGATCACTATTTCAACAGCACTCACTACCTACTCAGTCATCTACAATGACTTTGTATCTAGCTATTGAAAAGGATGTCTGTCGGTTCTCTTGTAATCATAGATCATGAAAGAGACACCATAAGTTCAAAACTGATTAACACGCTTTAGTGTAGGGTAGCTTGAAGGTATTCTCGGAACGACGATGAACATATTCGGAACTGAATAAATTGCTAACACAAGTACCTGTTACAAGTCCCTTATAGGATAATCTGGTCTTGATTAGGTGGATGTCTTCTTGTCCTAATATCGAAAAGGTGCATTGTTTCATACAAGGTCCATTGACTATTGTTGTAAGTTTATAAATCGACCCTTCTCTCACTATTTGGTATGACGCAGGCTTCCATTTCAATAAGTAGTAGCATAATATACATTCTACGTATCTCCATTTGCTAAAGATATAGACCTCCGATTGTGTAAGCCGTACAAAATACACCCAGCTAAATGCACCTTTACCGAATATGTCGTCAAGATTAACCTAGGCCAACTGCCATACGCACGTGGTGAGTGCTGCAGACTCGTACCTTGCCGCATGAACTCAAGATAAACTGTACTTAAAATAAGCCAGGCTGTATATGTACCATACCTAACTTGTGGACTGTTTTTATTACAGCGCAGCCATGCCCATGGAAATAAAATTCATAGACTAATCATATCCATGTTGATGAGCAATTCAATGTTTCACTGTTGACGCTGGCCTTGCGGGGCCCTTCTCAGCCGCCAACAGTTCTGTGGAACTAACTTAGCGGCGCTAGGCGGCCAAACCTAAAAGAGATGGATTTCTATTTACTCACCTCGAGGTTGCTGCAGTCAGTAATAGTAGCCGCCCACTCATCGCAATACCTCGCGTTCTTTAACTTTGCGCCCTCTCTTTTACGGTTTCTTTCCTCAACCCTCACCACATCACAGCATGTAATGCCATGATATTTTTATCCTCATCTCAACTATTGCCCCTTGTTCAAAGTTACGTTCAAGGCTAGCAATAGTGACCGCCAACTCGAAACCGCAAACCGTCCGCCTGCAAAAGCAACAATTTAGCCATCATGGATCGATTCCGAAATACTGCGGGCGAATATGAGGACTCTGCCATCATGGACGATTTAAAGGCTGCTGGGTATCAGGAAGTTACTGGATTGCAGGAAACTCAGGCTCGGTCGCCCTTGACGAAAACACGGTCCATGTCCGATGGAGGAGGAACCCCCTCTCGACTCTCTCCCTCACCACGCATCGTCGAGGCTTCTCGACGGACCTCAAAAGACGACACTAGTATTCCGACTCCCCAGCCAGTGACACCCCGACGCCCAAACTTCTCCAATCGTGGCTTTTCCATACAGATGCCCCCTCGAGAATTTACTCCACCAGCCGCGAACTCATACGTCAAACCCGCACCTTTATCACCTAAACTGGACCACTCCCAGATATACGCATCTCCTACCAATATACTTCCTCGTCGCTCCCGTGGTCTCGACTTCTCTCGCGCCGCTACCAGTCTACATCACTCGACTCTCGCCGAGCAGTCCTCTCCCGACTCATCACCCACCGCTGGTGGCCGGGCAATGAACATACCGAGCCGAAGAAGTCATTATGCAGGCCCAGAACAAACATCGACGTCTCTGTGGTCCGTCATGGGCAATCAGGAAAAGATGCACATCAGCAGCTCGCTTGGGAGTCAGGCGATTGGCTCTGATTCGTCAAGTACCTCTGATGACGATGAGCTGATGGACGAGGATATGGACGAGACCTACGTAACAACTCCGCAGGTCCATAAGATTGGACCAATTCTCGGTCCCCAAGGGTCTGGTGGGACCTTTGGATCCCCTGCAATGAGCAGCCTCATGAGCTTCCAACAGCGACAAAGACCCCGCAAACAAGCCAAGAAGAAGGCTCGTGGGCCCTTGGGACTGGGATTCAGTGGTGCATCTCTATCCAAGTCACCACCAACTAATTCTTCTCGAGCTCGTCGCGAGAGCATCAGTTGGCAGGCTAATCAATTGCACATATCTGGTGCAGATTCCGATGAGACACGAGCAATGGGCGATGTGGACGGGCTTGGAGATGGGCAGCGCAATGTCATTCGGAGGGTAGTAACCAGACGGGGAAATCTTTTGGTAAGTCACTTATATCAGATCAATACGAGTGCGCAACTAATACGGTACAGCCCAAGACAAAAGGATTTGCACGCATTCGTGCTGCGCTCATGGAAGAGAGCACTCCCGCTGAGTCTGAGTTTCGTCGAGAGGCAGAAGTTGTTAAGCAAGTTCGTGATTGCGACATGGAGCTTGAACCCAGGATCCCACAACCAGCTTTGGAATCAACTCAATCAACAACAGCACCCTCTTCACCCAACTTGACTCAGCAAGAAGGCCTGAACGACGTACCTGAGGAAGATATCATGGGCGATATATCCATGGGTCTCTCTAGCAGTTTTAAGCAACACGCTATCAAGAACTCAAAAGGTAAGACGTTTTGGGATACCTTTTCTGAGTCAAGTAGCACTGGCGGCGCCAGAACCACACCGCCTCCTGCCGCATTTCTTCCTCGAGGCTCATCCTCAGGTATCAGCGAAGACGTGGCGATGGACTCACCGTCAGTTGGTGGAGCTACTGTAAGTGCACCCTTGTCTGGCCAAAAGAATCAACAAACTAATGTCTCGGGCCCCGCAGAATGGCGGTACTCAACCGCCAACTGCCGCAGAAATAACTCGAAGGATTAACAGTAAACGTCGCCGGGACGATGACTTTGATCCTGTTAGCTTCAAACGTCGAGCTGTCAGCCCTGGGATGAGCGTTCACAATTCACCAGTCATGCAGAGTCCACTCCAACGAGACGGTATGTCGTGGGGCTCTCGTCCCGGTAGCAACGGCGGCGACAAGGCCGGCAGCAGCGCACCAAGCGAAGCCGGTAGCACACCAGGAAACCTATCCGGCAGCAGCTCTGCGGCAGGACGACTTAACAGCAAAGGCCGAGTTGGCTTCCAAGGAATGATTGATACTCACGATGGGATCATGCGTATGAGTATAGAGTAGCCTGTTTCTTTTTGTTGGGAATATTGGAGTGCCTCGAAGGATTCGAGTCTTTGCACCATGGAACTAAAAGCATACGGAGGCGTTATGAGCTATGGCGTTATTTAGGAATGGATTGGTATGGGGTCTTGAAACATCCAGTCTCTGGAAGCGGCTTTTATTTCTAATACCCTTATTTTGAGCAAAAATATTACGTATCATCAATGTCTCGATTATATAAATGCCGTCTTTGTAACAGGCAGCCCTTAACGCCTAAGAAGAAGCCTTTCTCAGATCAGTCCTTGATTATCCCTCATAAGAAATCCTAACGCCGTCTATGCCAATTCGCTTGTACCAAACATGATGCCATTACTCCACGCCAACACCCTCCTCTGGAACAGTCAGTGTGCCAAGCTTGTCGTCAAGCCAACGAGCTAGCTCAGTGGCATGACGGCGAAGGGCAGTTACTGCAGCGGCAGAGCCTGCGTTGCTCTCGAGACTAGCTGTTGTTTGTCCACCAGTACTCAGAATACTGTCTGCTCCATCTGGACTGCCAACATGAGAGGATTCGCCAGGGGGAACATGGAGATCATGCACATTGGGCACACCATGCTCCGTGACATCTGAGTTGGCGGGTCCGACGCAGACGAAGAGGAGACCGCACTTCAATCTACGGATCACGACAGTCCCGCTCGTAAGTTGAACCGTGACAGTAGCAGGCTTGATACCACGTCCCTTGCCAGACTTATGTGAGTCAAGCTGCTGACTTTGTGATAATCGATCTGTCTCGTCTTCGAGGTCATCCTCTTCAGGCGGTGAGCTTCCGATCGGATCGGGTGTGCGAGAACCGGGTAGAGACGCAGCGAGGGCAGGTGCCGAGGTGGAGTGTATGGCGAGGAGTGATGCGGCAACGGTAGCGTGTGTTCGAAGAGCGGCTACGGGATGAGGACTTGCGTGTGCGAGAAGCTTGCCATGAGGGCTTGTAAGAAGAAGGGTGGGAAGCTGGGGAGTTCGGTTCGCGTTGAGGAACGCCGTAAGGCGCTTTGTGAGGAGAAGAGGAGGCGTTGGGTGGGAGATGGACATGGTGATTGAACGATTGGCGATTGATAAGTTGATAGCTGCCTCTGGGGACTTTCCCGAATACAGAAATTGACGTGATTCTTCGATAGATAAGGCAAATAGGGCTTGATTATTGTACAGGAACGAGAAAAGACCCGCTCGTTGCTTGGAAGAAAAGAAGAGTCAAGCCTTGATGCGTGTTGAGGTGGAATGGGGAAACGGCTCAGGTCCAGGCCAGGTTCAACTTGTTCAAGCCTTGTTGATGGCGGGGCCCGAAGGTGGAGAGCTTGTGACTGGTTTTATCTCATTGGCTCTGTAAATTGACATGCAGTCGTGTAAGATCATTGGCTCTCTAATGCGAGGTCCAAGACAAAGAACATGATTATTGTGAGGCACCCAAAGAAATTATCTGTGTTTACAAGAGTAGTAATAAAAAAATAACAATGGAGATAAGAGCCTGCTATACTTATTTCTGATTACTCACACTCTCAGTGTGTAGCTCTCTGAAGCAGGTCATCCTCAACATCCACGTAGAGTCTCCCCTCCTCAGTCTCTTGTTTCCACTGCCCATATGCGAGCTCCACCATCTGCGCGACCTCTGCCATTCGAACCCAAGGTTCATTTCTCTGTGCAGGGTTATATCCCAACATT